CCCCCCCCCCCCCTCAAAAAAGTTAGTTTTCGTCAGAATGGTCAAGATTGAGATAAATACATGGGGAGATAGCCTGTCATTTGCTCTTTCATAAACGATAAAAACTTTTCTTCGATACCTCCTTTTTTCCGGAAAATTTTCAATATTTTTGACGATCCCTATTCGAAAAACCGCTGGTTTTTCGAAAAGTCCAAAAATCTTTTTCGTTTTTTCTCAAAATGGTGGTCGAATTACGTAGCCCCACCAAAAGTCAATTATAATCCGATATAAAGTCAAATATTTTTTTTTTGTTTGAAAGAGCATCAAAAACTGCAGTGCCTATGAGGGCCCTTTTTTTGATAAATCTTTCCTATTATTATATTGAAAAGCGATTTTATAATATAAGCATCATTTTTTTGAGAGATTTTTGAGTGATAGAATTTGTGAACCCTTTTTTTCTTATTAAAGATAAGAATTTAAAAAAAAGGCTCGTCATAGGCACTGCATCCTGACATGCTCTTTCAAATGAAAAAACAATGAACCATATTGAATGAACACCCATAGAGATTTTTGGGGGCTACGATAAGCCATTTTTCGACCCTTGTTTGGTTCGTATCTACTTAATACATCAGGATAGGAGGCTGAAAATTTTATCATAGACGTACTTTTACACCCCCAACATATCCCCAAAGTTTCATGCTATCTCGATGTTCCAGAGCTGAGATCGATTTTTGAGGGGGGGGGGGGGGGGGCCTTGAAGAAGTTATGCAAGATTCAACAAAACATCCTTATGTCTTTACATATGGTTTATTGTATAAATTGGTATCAATGAATGTTGATTGCAACAAGAAGAAGAGAGTAATTTATTTACCTTCACTCATGATCAATTCTCTCCTTCACTCGTACCATAATGATCCGCTTAGTGGTCATTTTGGCATTCAACGAACATATTTAAAAATTAAAAATAAATTTTGGTGGCCAAATATGAAACAATCAATTATTCAACATATACAATCTTGTTTACCTTGTCAACAACATAATATTAGTCGTACAAAGAAACCAGGTCGACTTAATCCAATTCCAACTCCAGAAGGACCATTTCAATTAATAGGTATTGATTATTGTGGCCCGTTCAAACCAACACCTCGTGGCAATCAATATGTATTATGTATAAATTAAAATTAATCTCAGATATGAGTAGCAACAAGAGAAAAAATATACGAAATCAACAATTGATTTTAGTAGAGATGTTTTATATTTAATATCATTTGTACAATACAGATATCAAGATGTATTAAATAGTTATAGTTGAAATTTTTCGGGCTTAATGAACCCATCATCAGAACAAAATAATTTTTATCAATTTCATTATGGGTGTGGGTGTGGGTGTGGGTGTGGGTGTGGGTGTGGGTGTGGGTGTGGGTGTGGGTGTGGGTGTGGGTGTGGGAGTGGGTGTGGGTGTGGG